ATATAACTACAAAAAGATGACTGAAAAAATAAGACAGAAAACATGTATTAGACAAATTGTGTTTAGCCCCCCCCCCAACAACTGAAAAAAACACAACTCCTCATGTACACTAACTACAGTAGGCCATGATATGTATGGTTACATACTGCTTTTTGGTATACACCATAAAGGTTGGGAACCACTGACTTAATTAAATAAATAAAACAAGAAAATTATTTAAAAGTTGGTGTCTGGTCAGAATATGTTGAGGAGGGGGGACTGTCAGGGGGACTCATGACCTTCAGTTTCTAAACTTTGCTACGGCCTTGCCGCAGACGTAAAAGATGGACTTAATTTTGACAGTAACACAAAAAAAGACTACTGATGCCTATTAAGCAAACATGTCAGTCAAGTAATAATATGAGGATGCCTATCTTGCTTGAGTTTACTGTCAATATAGTGAGAGTCTTCTGTCTTTCGTGGTGGGCGTGAAAGTTTTTGACAGAAAACGTTTGGGAACCACCGATCCATCTAAACCATCATCTTCATCATGTGCAACCTGATGCTTAAACCTAAGAAATTTAACAGTGTCATTTTTCCCTTCTCTAATTCTCAGCTGGTGAAAAGGGTACTGAGGTAAAACTATATAAATATACCTATAACCACAGCCTAACAAAATAGAGTTTTTTTTTGCCCAGAGTTTAGTCTCTCAGGCGGAACTTGCCATCAAGCTGTGTATAATTGTTCAAAAGGATTGGCAAGCTGGTGCATATGAAAGGCATTGCAACACATGACTGCAATAAGGAAAAAAAGAAGAATAGAAAGATTTATTGCAGAACTGCACAACCCGACTAAAACCTCTTTATATGAAATTCCTTAAACAATAAGGTATGAGACATATAAGGCATTCCATCATGGCAGTCTTATCACAGTGACTTGTTGCAGTATACACCTGAGTTCTGTTTATATTACAGGTTTGCCAATATCCTGTTTCTATGACACTAGTGCTGCATGTGTGCACTGAGGGTCACCGTGGTGTGTTTGACTTCAGATGAGAGCTGACTTCATGTCAGCAGACCCAATAAACCTGCATAACACAAGCCTTCACCGTCTTAATTTCCTGTCATAACAACAATCGAAAAACACATTATGGAAGCAATGGAAATGAGGAGTGAGTTTGTTAAGATTTTTGTCTATTTTAACGCCTATATCACAGTGGTTATAATAAGAAAACAATTAGCAAAATAATGATGAGTGAGGAACCAGACAGTGACAAGAAGAGATGAAGCAGAGAAGAGCATTACAAATTCTAATGTCTGTGGGAACATTGGGCTGTGATATGAGCTGTGGGTGTTGCTGGGATTTGAATGCGTGTGTGTGTGTGTGTGTGTGTGTGTGCATGTTTGTGTGAAGGAGAATATTTATGGGTGTGTGTGTATGTGTGTCTCAAACAGACAGATGGACAGACAGAAATAGCCAGAAGATGAGAGTGAGATATGTAGGTATACAGGGAGAGAGAGAAGATGGAAGAGAAGATGGAAGAGAGCAGGTCTGAGAATGAAAATGAGTAAAAGGCAAGTGAGACTGACAAACAGTGTAATGGTGGATTTGCTAAGACAATAATAAACTGGAGTTTATATTTCAATGTCATATCACTGCCTCTGTTGTATTTGTGTAAAATTAATTATCTGAGTGGTAATAAATGAGCACTACCGGATCTTTCACCCGGTGTGTTTTTTTTCTATTACACACACCATTACCCTATGTCAAAGAAATTTCTTGTTGCTAAAGATCATCCATCATGTATTGCCAATCTAATTTTGAAATGACACACACACACACACACACACACACACACACACACAGTGAAATACATTCT